GTGAGGTTAGCGGAAGCGCGGGATATCGCGTAAGAAGCGGCCGCTGACAACCACGCATTTCAACGATTGCAAACCGATTATTCGTCGTTGCGGGGCATCCATAGACCGTCCTTCATCGTGCTGCAACGGCACTCTTTTAAGACCAAAACGTTCGAGGCCGCAAGAGCTCACCAATGCTGGCGTGGCGTGAAAAGCTGTTCTCCAACGATACTCCAAGATGGCCAGGCAGAAGCGCAGCTCTGTGTCATCATGGCAGTTGAGAGCAACAATCCCGTCATGTTCGAATGCGGCGTCTTTACAGGGTCGGACTGGAATCCAGTTACTGTCGATGCTCACTGTACCCTCTCATCTTGCTGATGTCGGCATTGGATCGAAAACTCGTTTTTTCGGAAACCCGAATCCGGCAGATTCGCGGACAGTGTGGTTACCCAGGTACAAGGTCTCAGAGGCCTTGACCAACTATACAAAGTCCGTCATCGGCCTATCACCCAAAGACGATACTGCACCATACACAGTCTCGCATAACAGTCATGCACCACCGCCGGCCACGAAGCCTGCGCCCCGGATGTGACACACGGCGCGCTGATGAGCCAAATCACCGGTCTGCGAGTCGGATACACAGTTGATATCGGCCGAGGGAACAGACAAGAACTGTGCCTGGTAGTGGAAGCGTGGCAAGAAGAGCGACGTGTTCGCCGGTAGCCAGCAGAGAGGAAACGTCTGGGGCAGAGGGTTGCCACAGATGAAGATGGTACTGACGAACATAGCGGGTTTCGAGCAGCATAATGGGCAGTGCGACGGAGTGTATACGTGTGTATTCCACTCCGCTGTGTAGGTGATGGTGGCTACATCCTGCATAGACTCCATTGACGAGCTGAAGGTGGTCTATCGGAAGGACGTGAAGCAGCCAGGTGGGATTGCGTTGCGAGTATCGAAACGGGAACAGAGGTCGTCATGGTGGCAGATCGATGTCTAGATGTATAGACGGGCAATACGCTGGGACCCAATCGCCCTCCTGCCCGGAAGGCGACTCGCTGACAGACCGGGCTGTCCGAGGTATAGTAGATAGCGCGATCACAGCTCGAGGATCACTGGTGACACGTTCATCTCGGGCCACCGCAACTTGTCATTCCGACGCCGAGACACGTGCACGATGCTTGTGCGTTTCTTGACAAAGCCGAGGCTCGGTAGTACCTAGAGCGATCCTCTTTTCAATGCTTGACGAACCACGCAGCCTTGCTCGCTGGCGCCTATGCCGAGCTCCTTGTGGAAGCTCGTGTGAAGCGAGCGCTAGAGCTACCAAGAACGAGCACGGTGACGGCGGGTGAACCGTATTGAAGACGTGCTGGTACTGCCGACGCTGATGTTGGCCGAGGGACATGCGGTGGTTCAAGAGCCTAGGCTATAGTCCCGCAACCATGTGCACATCAACTGTTCCAGCCATGGCATGGCGGACTGGTCAGGCTGTCAACTTCCAAGCCACCGAAGGCTCGATAGTACGTCCGCGGCGTCAGACTATCATTTGCGAGTTAGGGGCATAGGTCAGCTGCATGCGAGCACATGATATGATGATGCAGACAGAGCCACATCCCAAGCTCATGAGGGTTCGGGCGCCTCACAACGCGCAATCTTCGAGCGCCAGATGTTCAACGCAGCTTGCGGTCGACGGCAATAAGAACTGCCAAGTACTCGTCGTCGTCAAGGGTATTCGCGGTGCTGCAAGCCAAGAACCCTTCCAGTGCTTCCACGCGCTCAAACGCGTCGTCGCCTCCGCTCATGGAGGCTTGGAGCCTTGATGAAGGTTGCTAGGGCTCGGCGGGTTTCGGCTCCCGGCGAAGGCGGAACTTGGAAGTTGGAAGGCCGAAGCAAAGAGGCTCAAGATCTACGCGGCCGCGTGCACGGTCGACGACGCCCCGCGGATCTGCAGTTCTCTACCCACCAAGTGGCACCAACTCCAAGTAGTGGCAAGTACTTCTAAAAGTTAAACCCTCGTGTATGAGATAAAACATTTTCTATGCATGACTCCGTGGCCTTCCGGGACCGGCGACGTAGCCGGCGCTGGCCCTACCTGCTGTGACCAAGCCGTCACTAGCTGCACTTCGAAGCGCGGGATTGTTGCGGAACCATGGCTATAAGGCAGGTCGAACCGGCTACTTGCAGCACAGCACATGGCAGCAAGACGCAGGGTCCGCGGTCCGCGACAAACTTTGCGCGGCACCGGACCATGTGACGGACCCTTGTGGATGGCACGGCATCAGTGTTGCGAGTTCGGTGGAGGCTTGCGCGTAGAGGTTGCAACCTGCAACTCGCAGGTGGTTCGGTATGTTATAGGTATTGCTCCCCTTGCCCACTCTTGTTGCACGCTCGATTTCCATAACCGCGTACGACTTCACATCATTCCGTCCCACAACCTCACATCGATCAAGCTTGCTTTGACTTGACCGCCCAACAAAGCAATTGCCAGCATGACTTCTTCAAAGTTTGTCGAGATCATGGACACCTCGGACGCCCCTTACTCGCACGACAATGTCAGCCTCGACGAGGTCCTGGCAGAGACAAGGCGGCGTTCGTCATCTTCCAGCAGTGCGGCCAGCTCCAGCGCAAACTCTCTGTCACAGGAACGAAGCCCGACGACGTCAATCATGGAGCCAGTGAAGACTCGCCTGCGGGGCCTTTCCATCAGGAGGCCCAAGACATGAAAGAAGGCCGATTAGCGACTATATGAGATTTTCTATCATTGTCGACAAAATCTACTTCTGAGACACAATTACAGTCGCCAATCCTGGATGACGATCTTGATCATTTTCCACTAGCATGATGGACGATGTCAACTATCTACGACAAACTGCGCAGCTGAGCGTACCGTGCTACATGCGAAGAGCATTCTGGACGCTGTGGTTGAGATGGGGCAGGCGTACGAGTACCACGCCGCCGAACCAGCGCGCAGGAGAAGTGTGAGGCCCGAGACCTAAGCCACAGTGGGTGGTGGAAGAATCCAAGAAGGCCAGGAGATGCCGGAAGCAGGTTAAGGCGAGCAGGTCACGGCTGTTAGCGGTCAGCAAGCGGCGTTACTAGCGACGCAGCCAGCGACGTAGCCAGCAACGGGATTTGTTGGCTACCACAACGGTGGACTGTCAGCGGCGGCCATTGGCCGGGCCATGTGGGTTTGGCAATGTACGAGGGGTGGACAAAACAAACCTATAGCCGCATGACCCGATTCTGCCCTCGCACGTGCAGCACACAACGACGACAACGTGTTCACGAACTCAAGCTACGCATCGCACACTCTGTGGCCGATACACGTGGCGTAAGATCCATATATATTACGATACAACAATGAATTGTAGCCTTCGCTGCACCACCCTGTCGATTTCTGTCCTCTTATCGAGCATGAGCTACCGCTTCTGGCTTGTGCGGTTTGATGAAGCCTGATTTGAACCTGCTTGAATCTGTCTGCAGCCCAGCGACAGTGAAGGCACATGTAGCACCATGTCTGCGCACGTTATTACAGTACCCTTTGTAGAGCTTGAGAACCTGGGGACGCTGACAGCGGGCCGTGTACCGGGCAGTCGCTCTCATGTGCATCATCATTACGAGGCTAGACCAAAACCATTGTTTGAGCTCTGGAAACATTAACTACAAAGACTACTAAGTACACAGCTGCGCATATAACGGCGAGGAACAGAACATACACACTCCGTACGAAGATGGTACCTCCGCTCATCGCTCTCGAGGAGCACTTCCTCTCTAACAAGATCAATGGCGCTGTGGAAAGGTACCAGTCGGTCGGCGCTCATTTGCTACCGAAGTTGCAGTCTTTGGGAGATGAGCGCTTAAAGGATATGGACGCTGGCAGCCTCAATCTTCAAGTACTGTCGCATACCCCACTCAGCGCACCTGCAGACGAGTGCCGGCAAGCGAATGACCAGCTCGCAGAAGCATGTCGGAATCGTCCAAAGCGCTTCGCCGGCTTCGCGATGCTGCCCATGCAAGACCCAACCGCCGCTGCCGACGAACTTGAGCGCGCGGTTACGCAGCTAGGCTTCGTCGGAGCATTGGTTAATAACCACGTCGAAGGCACCTTTTACGACGACGAAAAGTTCTGGCCGGTCTTCGAGCGAGCCGTGGAGCTCGACGTGCCGATCTATCTACACCCGACATTCGCTTCTGATGATATGCTGGAGCACTACAAGGGCAACTATTCCGACAAGACGGCTTTCGGGCTGAGCACAGCGGCCTGGGGTTGGCATACGGAGACTGGTCTGCATATTCTGCGTCTGTTCGCAAGCGGGCTGTTCGACAAGCTGCCAGGTCTGAAGATTGCCATTGGGCATATGGGTGAGATGCTGCCGTTCGCCTTCGATCGGATCTTGCCACTGTCCAAAGGCTGGGGTGACCGGAAGCGTGATCTGAAGACGGTGTGGGCCGAGAACATCTGGATTACGACCAGCGGCTACTTCTCGCTTGCTCCGCTGTCCTGCCTGCTGCAAGTCAGTAGTGTGGACAAGATCATGTACAGCGTGGACTATCCCTTCAGTACGAATGAGAAGGGATTGGCGTTTGTGAAGGAGATGCAGGCGAGCGATCTGGTGGATGATGAGCAGTTGGATAAGATCTGCTATAGAAATGCAGAAAAGCTGCTGAGGGTCAGTGTAAGGTCCGAGACTGAGTCTTGACGGTGAGGGTAAACGATCAAGCGTGCGAAGCGCAGTTCGATGGACTCGATATGCATATGGCAAATGCATCCTCCTTGGTGTAATCCTTCCACTGAGGCAGGCAGTCAATATGCTGCTGTCCATCACTTTCGCACATCCTCGCTAGGCTCATGCCACCCGAGTTTTCGTTATGGAGGCGTGGAGTATCGACGGCATGACTCCGGCTAGCTTTGTATCAGGCTATATATACAAGCAGATGCTCACGCACGTGACCTCTCACATGAGAACCAATGGGCAAGGGTACGAAGCCCTTTCAAATCATAGATTCGATTAACCATTGACATCTCTCTAGTGTCCGAGTGGTTATGGAGCTGCGTTTAGGTCTCCTAAGCAACTTCCGCAGTGGCTTTGCCTCGTGGGTTCAAATCCCACCCTTGTCATCATCACATGATCATTTTTGTTGGCTGTATTGTGTTTTGGAGATGTGCTGCGCATTGCACCAACTGTTGACAAAGGCTGAGTTGAGGGGTCTTGGCATAGCTTTTGCCACCAGCGAGCTTTGGAATTTCGCCCTGCATTGCTTTATCGTGCCCGGATAATGCAAGCTCGGGCGGTATCGGCGTGTATCCAGATAATGGACAACATGCTGACTCTTGACGGTGGCAGGAATACAACAAGCAGGCTGCACCAGATGATCTGCACCAGATGATCTGCACGCCGATTCTGTCTATTGCTCTTCGCGGTGCGTGAACAATCTAGGCAGATTCGGGCCGAAGGGTTGAACCATACCTAAACCAACCTCAAACCAGGTATACGACGACAAGAACATAGCTCGTCGCTACAACGGACAATGAGTCAAGTACCTGGGAGAATGTGGTGACATCTACAATGTATTACGGTGGCTATATAGACTTGCATCACTTCATGAACAAAGCACCAGACGCCCAACCAAAGACCGAAATATCGTCGCCGTACCTCCTGGCACCCCTCACTCTTCCATCATATCATCATCTCCCTCCTGACTGCGCGGATCGTGCGTTGCCATCACATCATCTCGCATATACATCGGCAGCAGGTTAGTCCCAGTGAGCGGCAGTCCAGGGCTGATATCGTTCGAAAGGTGCTGCGGGATCGTGGCCATGAGGCTATCACCGGGCTGCCCGAGTTGGACAAATGGAGCGTAACGAGCTGGCAGCGGAGCTTGAGGATGGGAACCACGGACGATTGACGAGCTTCTCTCGTACGGCTCCGGGTGGATAAGTTGACGTCTGGGCGAAATGTCGATTCCGATCCGCCGAAGATCCTTCAGGTTCTTCTTCGTGCGATTACTCACGGTCTGCTGGGAGGGTCCGAGGCTGTCAGCGTACTCGAACTCCGGCTCGTACCAACCGTCATCGGTCTTGAGCTTGTCGTGATCTTGGCTTGTAGACTCCGCGCGGTACTTTGCATGATGTGTCGGATCAATTCCATCATAGTGTTGAACAGAGACGCCTCATCAGATTCGCTCTCCTCGCAGAATGGGCAGAAGTAGCGATCGTCCTCGTCCTTGTAGTTTGCCTCTGCACGGCGTCGCCACTGAGAGACTGGGTGGTGGAAATGGCCGGCGATGTGCGCTTCCAACCATGCCTGTGGGCCATACTCCTTTGTCTGTCAAAATGTTAGCACGTCGCAGCTGAGATCAACCGTTGAGGAGAATACTGCACGCACCTTGTGGATCAGATCCACCGTTCCGTCCTCCTGACACATGTAACATGTCTTGACCCTTTGTGACCAGGTAGCGTAGGTCGACAACGCGTTGTCGAGCAGCAGCAACATTGCAGACTTGGCAAGATCGTGGTACGAAAGTTCCTTCATCTTCCCGAACCCAGCGTTCTCGGCATCCACTTCGTCATCGATGGAAAGCGTGAGGGTGCCGTCGTCATCAAGCTCGACGCCCTTGAGCAGCACTTGCTCGAGGTCCGGCTCCGCTGCTTGCTCGTCTGCCTCATCGCGGACAAACCGGCTACCGTCTTCGTCTTCCTCACCGACCTCTTCGTGGTCTTCTTCAGGCTCTTCTTCCTCCTGCTGGGTGTTGCCAGCGCTGAGCGCAGTGAGTGCCCGCTCCAGCACCTCATCGGCGAACTGCGACGCGTGAAGCGACGCCATTCTCGCCTGCATGTCCGCCTTGGTGATGTGTTTGCGCTGCCACTCCGCTTCCTTGTTGACGAGCTGTTGTCGTGCAAATCGAGCAACCCGGCGGCGGTAGTTCTTCAACTCCAGGGCGGTTGGGTTCTCAGGCGGAGAAGGATCGGCCATGATCAGCCGACGGGTAAGCTGATGGACAGCTTCTCCTCTCGAGTTCTGGAAGGCGACATTCTGTAGCTTCCCGAGAGCGAGTGGGGCCCAGGCCTGGGACAGCTTGCTAGAATGCCCGCCGACTTCGACGCCCTGATCGGTAAGGATGCCGATAGCGTCAAGTGTCTCGGTCATCTGGAGGTAGTACCGCTCTAGAGTCCCGTTCTCCGGACTGTGGCCTATCATTATACGCGTGGTCGTTAGGCCAACCCGGCGAGCCATGTCGGTAGCAGCGCGACGCCGCAGACTGTAGTACGTAATCGGCGTAGTGTACCCGGTAAGGTAGCCGCGGCGCTGCAAGTACTCTGTGATGGCATGCGCGTTCATTGGACGGGTGTAGTCCAGACCTGTGCCTTTCGGGACTCCGCGGTAGAAGACGGTCTGGTCGAGGCAGTCTTCCTTGACAGAAACATATTGCAGTGTCGAGTCGAACAGATCGTCGAGGCTCTCGATGCCTTCGAGGATACCGCGCCGGAGAGCAATAACCAGTAGGCGATGTGCTGGAGAGAAGACGAGGTTGTGAGATTCGGGCGAGTCTAGACGAAGAGGCACAGGTTCGTCGGAAGGGGCGTCTGGAGCCGTAACGACACCCTCCGTGCGCTTGATATCGAGATGGTCGAGTGTTATGCGAACGGTGAACTTTCCAGGTTCGTCCCCAACCTCAAAGTCTAAGTCCCGCCATGTTATTGCCTGATCGCGAGTGTACGGCCCGCTAGGGCAGAGCGAGCCCGGACGAAGTGCGGTTATACGCCCGATACACCAGAGTAGCTGATGCTGTTCGGAGAGCTCGATCGACCCGTTGTAGATGGCCTCGAAGTCCAGAGGCTGGCGCAATTCCGCTAGACCAAGCCAGGTCTTGCCCTTCTTGCGATGTGCGTAGCTATACCTCTTCTGCATGTATTGCATCGCCTTGACCATATCATTGAACAGTCGTCGGCGAAGGAACTCAATGTCCCGATCTCCATAACTGCGCCCTGCCCAGTGCAGCATAGAGTGTCTGTATTGGACAAGCGTGCGAATGTTGATGGTGCCGGCAGCTCTCGAGCGAGGCAATGCCCGCTTGAAGGCGTAAGTCACAAACATCGTGCGCAGAGATGGTCAGTTACACTACGTAGGACAACGCTACCTGTATGTGAGGTAATCAATGTGAGTTTGGGAGGTGAGGTTCAAGGTGGAGTTGAAGCCAAAGGTTAATAGTAAGCTTATATATAAACTTGGCAAACACGCGGAAACTCACATACCCAACTGCTTGCTTATCTGCCTTACGTCGTCTGGGAACAAAAGCAGATCGACCTATATTTATATATGGCGGCTGGATCCAGACCACAGACCTCACACTGACATGAACGCATTAGGCTAAGGCTTTCGTGGCGCAGTTGGGCCAGGCGGCTGCTCAGGAGCAAGCAGACATGGACGGTGTTGAGCCCATGGACACTGCTGAAGGTGGGGATGACGGTCTCATCTTCGCTAGCATTCATCAGCACGCTTCGTCTCCGTCCGACTCGGGTCGCGACACGTGGTACTTTGGCCTGGTCAAGGAGCATGGCCTCGCGCCGAAGCCACGCAGCCGGAAGCCCGCCAAGGAGACCAAGAAGCGCGGCGCGCCCGAGAGCGCTGGCCGTGGTGGTAGCAAGAAGCGCAAGACCACGGTCCAGGACGACGAGGAGGAGGAGGGCGCTGGCGGCGATGGCGAGGACGAGGACGAGGAGAACTCGTAGCGCCACTGCTCTATTAGCGAGCGTTGAGCGTTCGTTACGGCTGCACACCACGCCTTTCGGAGCTCAACGCAGTCAGCTTTTCAACAAGGCAAAGACTCGCTGTTCCGACGTGCTTTTGGCGACAGGCACATGACGGATTGGGTCGCAGCTTTTGCTTCGCTGACCATGTACAAGTGGCGTAGCACGAAGACAATCGAAAGACGGCGCTCGCTGGTCTGTTACCTTGAGTGATTCTTGCCCTTCACTCGCGATCCGTCCATCGCCGCACGTGTCTTGCTTCCTAGTGCTGCGCTGCTGCTTGCGCTTTTCTCGTGTTGTCGCTGAACTTCGCATCCACGTTTAATATCGCCAGCCTTACCATGCGTCACTTCCTGCTCGTGTTCCAAGGCTCTCTGTTTCCGTACTGAGTGTGTGTTACTCTGCCGCCCGTTTCGGTCGCGCGACGGCTGTGCTTCTCCGCAGAGGTGTACAGACTTACACACTAGAGCATATATGTCAACGGGTCCGACGACTGACAATGTCTAGAATGTGACAATGAATGTTCACTAGCGGGGCTATGTGATGGCTTCGCCGCGGCATTGCGGAAGCTTCCGCGAGCAAAGTCCGGGCCGAACCAGCTAGAGGGTCTACTTCCGTGGCTTCGTACTGTATGCTTACCAACTAGACACGCGTACCCAAGCCAGGCTCCAATCTCACGAAACTGAGGTGATAGACGGCACGAGTGATAAGAGATAGATGTACCGTCCGATGCCTTGCTAACATGCAAGCCGACGCTCCTAAGGATCGCATCCTTGCCATGGACGACACAATCCGTCTTCACGGCCATGCAGTGCTGCTCGCCGGTTTTGTTCTATCCGCTCTCTATGCATTCATGGTCGCGAAACGGATCTTCGCGCGCCATCGGTTTGCCCGCCTACATGGTTGTCGACCGGTAGCAAGATCCCTTAGCAAGGACCCTTTCCTGGGTATCGACACCTTGCCCGGCACACTTCGAGCTTTGCGACAACATCGTATACTCGAGCGAAGCTGTGAACTGTACGCCACCTATGGTACCACGTTCACTTTGAAAGAGCTCACGAAACGAGCGATCTTGACAATAGAGCCGGAAAACATCAAAACGATCCTGACTCTCAACTTCAAAGACTACGGCATTGGCCATCGTCTCGGAGCCTTCAGACCCTTGCTAGGTGAAGGCATCTTCGATACCGATGGCGATCATTGGGCTCACTCACGTGCTCTCATACGACCCAGCTTCAACCGTGACCAAATCGCCGACCTCGAAGCATTCGAGCGTCTATTTCAGGACTTTCTGCGGCTTCTCCCACAAAATGGAACGTCAGTCGTAGACCTCCTTGACCCTTTTTTTCGCTTCGCTATGGACACTGCCAC